ACCCCATCCCCCCACCCACCTCCCCTCCTGCAAACCTCAGTTTGTTTCCTAGAGTTCAACATCTCTTATGGTTTACCTTCTTCTCAATTTTCATCTTATTTTATTTTTCTTTCCCTTCCCCTATGCTTATCTGTTTTGTTTCTTAAATTCCACATAAGAGTGAAATCATATGGTATTTTTCTTTCTCTGACTGACTTATTTCACTTAGCATTATGCCCCCTGGTTCCATTCACATCATTGCAAATAACATGCTTTCATCCTTTCTGATGGCTGAGTAATATATCCCATTGTACATATATACCACATCTTTATCCATTCATCGGTCGATGGACATCTCGGCCCTTTCCATATTTGGACTATTGTGGACATGGCTGCTATAAACATTGGAGTGCACATGCCCCTTCAAATCACTATGTTTGTAGCCTTTGGATAAATACCTAGTAGTGCAATTGCTGGATCATGCCAGTTTTCTTATCTGCCTGGTATTCATCCAATGTTGTGAACATGAGGGCTCTTTAAGCACTGGTACAGATAGCAAGAACCAGGGAAGGAGGAGTAACTGGGGGTCACAGGCAGACACATGGAGGCCCCCCACCTGCCAGCACTGTAAAAGCAGAGGGGCAGCATAACTGCCTGGTGATGCCCTCCAACCAGCTTGCAGTGCTGCACTCACAGAAACAGCCTCCAAGACTTCACCCAGAGATCGAAATTGGGAGCTTGTCCATTGATGCAGTCCAGCAAGAGTTTTGTCAACAGGAGGCAGCATCCAAGACATAGTCGAGGCTATTTAAGCAAATAAAGGGTCAAGTGAGAGACAGCCACTGGTTCTGAATATCATGGACTGAGAAAAAAAAAGACACACAAAATAAGCAAAACATTATTTGTTACACAATATAACCAGTGATATTATATAAATATATGTCTGTTGTAAGGAGCCTGGGAAGAATAGCACAGTCCCTGGGTAGGACTCCAGAAAGCAGTGGAGGAAGAGGCTGGTGAATTACCCCAATGAGAGCAGCATTTTCTCTCCATGTTATCTCTGAGCTGCTGAACTCCGGCTGATGGAAATCTGCTATCAGGAGGATGGGGTAGAAGTGAACACAGAGGAAATGAGCTAATAGGAATTATGAAGTGAAATACAATATATATAATAAGCTGGTCTGTGTCTAAAGAGATATTGAAGGGTGCTGCAAGTGATAAAGGTAAGATTCCACTGATTTCAGCCTCTTTCATTCCAATGTAACCATAACTTATGATGCTCAAAGCTGGAAAAATTTACTTCAAGAAGAAAATGAAAGTTCTTTAAGCATGTTTGATATATTTATTTGAAGACTTTTTTTTTAAAGATAGTAAATTATCCATTGTACAATGGAGCCAACTAGTGCAACAGGCCAAACTTGCACTCCATACCATAGAACAGGGCCCCTCAACTTTATATTCAGAATCATCATTTTCTGTGGTGTTAAAATGCAGATTCTGAATCAGTAGTTCCAGGTGTATGGAAGATTCCACCTTTCTAACAAACTTCCAGGTGGTGCTGATGCTGCCAGGTCTCAGCTGGCTTTTTAGGTGTCAAACGGTGGACAGCACCTCAGAGACCTAAGTTGTGCCTGCCTCCAGATGCTGTAATATCAGATTCACACTTGGGGCTTGTGCAGCTCAAGGAGGTCACTAAGTGGGGATTATTCTAATTACATAACACTTGAGACTTTATTTCAACAGTTCATTGAATACTTACTGCATACCAGGTGTTAGAAAGGGAAAAGGTAATGTTGGTTTTTTTAGTCTCAAGCAGCTCTGGGACCGGAGCAGGGGCAGGGGCTGGAGGAGGATGTTGAAATTAGCAGCTGTCATGTTTGCAGAGAAGGAAACAATAGGACCCATAACAGAAACTGTAGAACACACAGGGGGAGGTCCCTCTGGCTGGGCAAGAACATGTGACTCCATTGAAGAGGTGGGCTTTGAACAGATGCAACCACATGTCTTTTGTAAGATATTTAAAACAGATTTGAGGAGAAGGTGCTCAATCTAAGAAACCCAATTACACTTCAAAAAGATTATTCTAAGCTTGGTAGTACATCTGGCAATCACAAACCGTACAAGGGCCCCAATTCTGAGATTAACCCAGTGGCTTCTCTGTAGAAGGAGAAGATTAGAGAAGTTGAGAGTTTGGACCAGAAACACCTCAATGAGCATATTCTGCTAGCTTGGAAGATGATCAGTCCCAGAGATGATGCTGACACATGTCGTGCCTTGCATGTTGCAGGTGCTCAAAAGATCTTGTCCAAATAGTTTAATTAATGGTTTTAGCTCTCAGATTGTAAATGTGTCTCCAGAGCTAAGTATTTCTTAGTGCCACATCAGCAGAGGAGGCACTTTTGAAATCTGACACAGGATCACATAAACAATACCCACCATCTCTCCGTGCATATGCTGTAGTTTGACTAGTCATTTGTCTATTCTACTAAAATGTTGTTTTCCAGTTAGTCACAAAGGTGACCTTTCTATTTCTTGGTTGGTGTGAAATTTTAAATTCTTGTAGCTACCACCAAATAAAGCAGTTATGATATCAGAAAATTCTGAAATCTCATAGAAAGCTAGAGTACTCAAAGTTCCCAAGATGGAAAGTTTTCATACATAATAGCTACTAACTTGCAAAGTAGCTATTATGTATGAATCATACCATATGATCCAAATGCCAAATACTACTGGGTATTTACCCAAAGAAAATGAAAACACTAATTTGAAAAGGTATATGCACCTCTTTGTTTATTGCAACATTATTTACAATAGCCAAGAATTGAAGCAACCCATATGTTCATCAATAGATGAGTGTATAAAGATGTGTTATATGTGTATATATATAATATGTACATATGTACATATATAATATGATTCATACATAATAGCTACTAACTACTAACTTGCAAACTTACTACTTACTAACTTGCAAATACTTGAGGAAATTCATTCTTTTTGTTGTTGTTAGGAAAAGTCTAAGCATTTATGAATCTTGAGAAAAGGTTGTCTTTAAGTCATCATTAATTTTTTTCCTTATAGGAAAAATACTCAAGTGCTTTTAAATTATTTTATTTAAAAATTTTTAAAGTATTTTTATTTCTTATTTAACCATAGTTGACATACTATGTTAGTTTTAGGTGTACAACATAGTGATTGAACAAATCTATGCATTATTCAGTGTTCGCCATGATGAATTGTAGTCACCATCAGTCACCCTACAACATTATTACTATACTTTTCATCCCCGTGACTTATGTATTTTATAACTGGAAGATTGCACCCCCTAATCCCCAGGTCCATCCATGTTGTCATAAATGGCAAGATCTCATTCTTTTTATGGCTGAGTAATATTCCATTATATATGTGTATACACATATACACACACATATATATGCACACACACATATATATACCTATAACACATCTTTATACACTCATCTATTGATGAACACTTGGGTTACTTCAATTCTTGGCTATTGTAAATAATGTTGCAATAAACATAGGGGTGCATATAACCTTTCAAATTAGTGTTTTCATTTTCTTTGGCCAAATACCCAGTAGTATTTGGCATTTGTATCATATGGTATTTCTATCTTTAATTTATGAGGAACCACCATACTGCTTTCTATAGTGGCTGCACCAATTTACAGTCCCACCAACAGTGCATGAGGCTTTCTTTTTCTCCACATCCTCACCAACACTTGTTATTACTTACCTTTTTGATACTAGCTGTTCTGACTGGCATGAGATGATATGTCACCATAGTTCTGATTTGCATTTCCCTGATGATGAGTGATGTTGATCATCTTTCGTGTGTCTGTTTCCCATCTGTATGTCTTTTTTGGAAAAATGTCTATTTTTCTCAAATACTTCTGCCCATTTTTTAATCATGTTGTTGTTTTTTTAATTTTGTTTTGTTTGGTGTTGAGTTCTGTAAGTTCTCCATATATTTTAGATATTAGCCTCTTATCAGATATATATTTTTACCAGATATATCATTTGCAAATATCTTCTCCCATTCAGTAGATTGTGTTTTTATTTGTTGGTGGTTTCCTTTGCTGTGCAAGGAAATGCATTATCTCTAAAATCTTAATCTTTGGTATCTTTTTCTTTCCCTCTTTTTTTTTTTTTTGAAACATTCAAAACCCTAGAAAGGAACATGATCTAGGGAGAAACAATTTAGAGGGCTTTTTAATTGTATCCCATATATGTGGATGTTTCTCTAAGTTGAGTACCACTAAGGCAGGGGAACTTCTAGTTCAATTCCTGGGACCATGTTGGAAGGCCAGTAGGTGTGTGCGAGGATTGAGCTAATGTTAGTACATACATTAGAATGTACATGTGAGTGTTTCCTTAGTTTGGGAATTTTGTCTATATACAGAACTAATGGCATGGGTTTTCTTGTCATTTATCTTCTAAATCTGTGTGGGACATTATTTTAAACCTTTTCTTCTTTGGGTATATGTATTCTGCTCAAATGAATAGCCATGGACCTGGGAAGAGTTGATCCCCATTGCAGATTTACAGCCTTATTTTCCCTGTGGACTGGCCCAATGCTAATGTGATTGGATTTACCCATGGATTTCAAGATGTTTGTTGACAATCACAGGTTTCTCTAGAGCTGCAGTGGTTCCAATTTCTGCAGAGTCTCCTTTATTTGGAAGCAAAGACTTTATAGGGATGTGAGTAATCCATTTCTGGCTTTCTCTGACCGGCTGCCATGATAGAGCTTTTTAAAAATTGGTAGAATAGGTAGGACTAGAATATCATCTGACACCACCCCCCCCAGCTTCTGTGCATATCAGCTGACTAGTATACGCTGAAACAGCAAGGGTCTGGGTGATTAGATTTTTTTCAGGTGTGATTTTCTTGTCTCATCTCTGTTTCCTCCTCCTCCAGGAGAAATGGGTCCCATGAGGCAAGTGTGACCTTGGAGTGCAGCCCACCAGCCTGACGCCTAGTCCGGGAGGGAGAGAACCATGGATGGCATAATTGAACAGAAGAGCATGCTGGTGCACAGTAAAATCAGTGATGCTGGCAAGAGGAATGGCTTAATTAACACAAGAAACTTCATGGCCGAGAGCAGAGATGGCCTGGTGTCTGTTTACCCAGCGCCACAGTACCAGAGCTGCCGGGTGGTGGGCAGCACGGCACCAGCCAGCCTGGATGGCAGCAGGAATGAGCCGGTCCAGCAACTGCTGGACCCCAACACACTTCAGCAGTCTGTGGAGTCCCATTTCCGACCCAACATCATTCTCTACTCGGAGGGTGTGCTGCGCTCTTGGGGGGATGGTGTGGCTGCCGACTGTTGTGAGACCACCTTCATTGAGGACCATTCGCCCACCAAAGAGAGTCTGGAGTACCCCGATGGGAAGTTCATTGACCTCTCGGCTGATGACATCAAGATCCACACCCTCTCCTATGACGTTGAGGAGGAGGAGGAATTCCAGGAGCTGGAGGTCAGAGGATGTATTTATCATGAGCCTTTGAGAACGGGACATGGGGATTGGGTGGGGACTCATGAGTGCCTGGCAAAAGTTAGGGAATGCAACTAGTGTGCAAAAATACAGAGAAACTGAAGCATTGTTAAATATCCATTGAAAATGGAGTGGAGAAAGACTAGGTGACCAGCACCCAGTAGGGGCTTCAGCAGGGATGTTGGCAGAGATGACCCAAGGTAATGGCTGTGAGAATGGGGCTACTGGTGGACTAAAGGGTTGCCAGCATCAGAAGTCGGTTGGGGATTCCTGCTGACACCCCTCCACTTGGGACAGAGAGGTCATTGGCAAAAGTGATCAAGGTGAGAGAGGGACAGAGGATCCTAGGGCCACATGAGGCTGGAAAGGCATGTGTGGGGAAAATTTGAGAAGAGTTTTTGCTGCCACAAGCAGTTTCCTTAATTTAGCATTCCAAAGTTTCTACTAAGGGATCCTTGGTATAGCTAAATCTGCTGGAAAAAAATAATAGGACTGCTAGCCTAAAGGAAAGATGAGTTGAGTTGTTACAAGAGTCACTTTAGTAGACTGGGGAGCAGGTAAGGGCATTTGGATTACATGCTTTGAAACATGCACTTTGGACATGTAGCCAAGGAAACCAGAAGCATCAGGCCTGGAGTTGCAATGAGAAGCAGAAGCAGCTGGAAAGAGATGGTTTTAATCAGAAAGGAAATTCAGAAATGGGAAATGTTTTATAGCGATTTCTGTGAATGGAGCCCATGAAAACCAACTGGCAGGGAGTCCAGAGAAGTCAAGTTATAGGAGATGCCATCGGAGCAGACCTTCACATCTTCTGGTGACACCTGTTAAGGGGAACACACTCTGGCAATGCCAAAGTTTTTAGAAAGCTGTAAGAAGTACTTTGGCTTCCATTCACAAGGCTCTGTCATGTGTCCATTTTTTCCAAGGCCTGAGGGTATTGCTAAATGCAGAAGTATAAATGTCACTTGACCTGCATGAAGTTGAGGAAGCAAATACACAAAAATGCACTTTTCACAAAACACAGGAGTTATGATGGTAGAGTTCCAATCCTGCTCTGAGAGCATCCAAAGGATTAGGAGATGGGACTCCAAGTATAATGTGAGGGATCAGGAGTCATCACAGAGGAAGCACCCCCTGCACTACATCTTGAGGAGGAGAACCAGACTATGAACAAAAAGGCTCATGGGGAGGTGGTGGGAGAACCTTGGTCCAAGGGGACAGCATGAGCAGAAAAAGCACAGAGGCATCCAACCTAGGATGCAGAGAATAGTAACTGATTACAGTTGCTAAGACCTGTGAATCATGGTGAAGTCGGGAAACAGGACCATAACTGAGGACCATAACAGCCTTCTAAGGGAGGCTGGAATTTAGGCGAGGTCACAGACCCAGATGCCTACAAGAGGAAGGACAGGTAACAACATCAAGAAGGAACCCTATATTGAGAGGAGTGGCCTGAGACTAGAGAGTCCAGGCCCACCCTCAGCTATAGGGTTGCTGCTTGCTGCACCTCATAGGCCACACTGCTAGGCACCTTGATGGGTGTCATGGGTGTGGAAACCCTGAGGGGTTTCAGGTAGGAGGGTAGGGTCAGATTCAAGTTTTCGGAAGCTGCTATGGCTGCAAAGTGGGACAGTGGGGCAGAGTGGGGAGATGGGGGGGAAGGGCACGGGGCTAGGACCAAACTAGATTCCCAGAACCTATTGGGACCTGCCATAGGAGATGGTGAGAGAATCGGGACAGCAGTAGAAATGAAGAAATACTTAAGAAGTGAAGTTTTCCATTGTTCAGAGATGATGGGAAGGAAAGGGTCAGGCCTGCCCTGTGCAGAGATGCCCCTTAGCTTCCAAATGGTCAAGCTGGTCAGCAGAGGATTTTCAGCTTTGTTAGGAATATTTGGAAAATAAGCTCCAATATATAATATCTATCAGAATTTAAAATTTTGGGATAGTTACTAGACTGAAATTGTAAAAGAAATTTGTGGATGTTTCCATCATCACTTTGTCACTTGTGTGGGCTTCATTCCTCCCTCCCTCACCTATATCCATTGACTTAAAGTCCATATCCTTGAATAGCTATGTTCCAACAGGGTAGGTGAGGATGAACAGGTGAGTAACACATCTTCTTAGTCCTTAGTCTACTTCTGTTCTGTGACTTCATAATGAAATACACTGAAAGGAATCGTATTCCTTTTTCTTTAAGACTTGCATGGGCTTCAGATTAAGCTTGCAAATAAATACAGCTGTTATTTAAATGCAAATGTTCTTTTCATAATATGTCTTAATCCACATTTTTGGCAATCGATTACTGAATCCATTTTTTTTTTGCAACAATTTTCACACAATGATGTCAGCCAATAGATGTGGCTTTTGGAACTCTGCAGAGGACCAGAACCCACTTAGAGACAATCTTTTAAATTAAATGCTGGGAGGTGGGTGGCTGGCACAACAGGCTTTTCTACCAGGTCAGTCCAAGGCTTTGACAGGTAGTGCAGGTTTCTGGGGTAGTGAGCTCTGCCACCCAGTTTGTTTCCCTGTCCTGGCAACAGTAGCAATAGCCCATCAGAAACAGTTAACTTTAATGATACAGCAGCTGGAATCTTTACTTGTGATTATAGTGCCTATGGTGTAGTAACATGTTTATAGTCACCTCTCATGGCAGTAAGGTGGAACATGCTGGCATGTATACCTTAGCCAGAAAGGGCACCCCAATGACATTGGTGGAACAAGTCGTTTAAAAGTTGGGCTGCCTCATATGAGACTTTCTGGTTGGCAAACCCAGACCAAGAAATGGCTCTTTGCACAGGTCTGGGGGAAGGAATCAAGACACAGTGTGGCAGCTGTCACTCCTTCAGTGCTGTTTAGTACAGCCATGGAGGAGTCCAGGGGGTCATCCAAAGTGGTTGGCATGACCCATTAGGAACTCTGTAAAAACAAGATATTTTCTCAGCAGCATTCTTATGGTGGAGCCATGGCAGTCTTTATTTATGAAGAAAAACTAATGAGTAGCTAGAAGAGTCAGTGTGCATGCAGCAACTGTTCTAAGATTTATTGTTTTTCCATTCCATGAAATAATAAAGGGGCATGTATCAGTTAGCATTTGCTGCATAACAAATGCCCTAAAACTTAATGGCTTAACACAACTGTTTATTTCGGTCATGATTCTCAGCGTCAACCACTGGAATGGGTATCTGCTGAATGGTTCTTGCTCTGCTAGTCTCACTCTGGTTCCCTCACTAGTCTGTAGGGGCTGCTGCTCAGCTACACAGCTGTGCCTATTCTCAGGCCATTGTCTGGCCATTGGCTGAGATGACGAGGTGGCTGGACCTCATGTCTAATCATCTAGCAGGTCACTCCATCACATGGCAATCATGCTAGAGATTCCCAGAGCAGCAAGGGAGGGTGAGTCCCAGCATACGAGGCCTTTTCAAGTCTTTGCTTGTGTTATGCATGTTATTGTCTTATTGGCCAAAGAAAGATACATGACTAAGCCCAAAGCCAGTGTGGGAGGGACTTTTTAGGATGACAGTATAGGAAAGTGCCAACAAATTGGGTACCAATTATTGTAGTCTGTAGTCTACCACAGAGCAAAAATGTTTGGCCTATTTAACATATATTTTTTTAAGATCGTCTAATTGAACAGAGTGAGAACAACTGTAGTTATTTTGTGACTTAAACAGAAAACACAGTAGATATTGATCTAGAGCTCTTCACAGAAGGCAGTATTACTTCAAACCAAACAACAACAAAAAAATAAGAATTTAACTTCTGTGAATTCTATAACATCACTTGGTCTATAGCAAAGTGATACTGTGACCTAAAAATTGCAATTTTCAGAAAGCCATTGTGCTGGTGAAAAGCAGGGGTCCTTGTCACTAGAGTTCCTGCGTACCAGGCAACCTGCCTCTTACCTGTCCCCTTATCACACTACCTGGAGAGCTTCATCCCTGGCATTTATAATGAAGATATCCCCGATCCAGAGAGGTTTGCTCACCTGATGTATATTTCTGTAAGAACATGTGGAGTTTTTGGGTAGCCCTCAAGGTTGTATTAATGTGAGTACGTTCTGTAGCTAATTTCAAGAATCTTTATGGAAAATCCTCAGAAATTGAGGTTTGCCCTGCTCTACCCAAGAGGAAGCTGCTACTCATAGTGAATTGTTGGGGCTCTAAATCAGATAGGGAGATCTCAGGGGGCCTCTGAGGGATTGCGGGAATGCCGAGTTGGCTGCTCATCATATGGTGTCACTGCACTCAGTGTGACCAGACAGGCCTCCCTGGGGCAGGGGGTGGAGGGGGGACACTCAGGCCACTCTGGGTGCACGATTTGGGGCCAGTGATCCACAGCCCCAGGGCCTCCTCCCTGATGTTTGTCCACTGCTTCATCCAGTGCCCAGTCCACAGCTAAAACCGCAGCTTTCAGAAACACCAACAGCAGGAAACCATTTCTCCTTTTCACACAGAAAAACTCAGAGATTTCAGGCTCTGATAATAAAGCAGTTCTATGAAATAGAAAAATTGAGTTTAAAGCTATGAAAAAGTAGGTGAAGTTCATGGCTAGAGAGGCCTAACAGCCCTCCTGCTGTTAGAGATGCTTATCAAATGTTGAAAGGCCAATTATTACCCATTTATTTGTAATAGTGCAACCCCTTCAGGATCCTAGAGCACATGGAATGTCATCACTTAGAAATAATGCCCAAGGTGGTGGGGGAGCCTTTTCTTCACTACAAGAAGGAAGGGGAAGGTAGGACCTGCTGATGGAGCATCTGTCTATGCCAGGCCCTTCGTGCACCTTCTGTCATGTAACCACATGGCAGCATTGGGCCACAGGTACTGATCCTGCCTCACCCTGTGCACAAGGACACTGAAACTTGGGAGGTGTCCAAGGTCACACAGTTGGCTGTGCTGGCAGCTCTTGGAACTGAGACATGCTGACTTCAGACTCTTGCCTCCTAATGGTGATGCTGTTAAAAAAAAAAAAAAAAGT